AATGGAAATCATCGGAGGACTGCAACCATTATAAAACGATGGTGGATGCCAGTCAAATCTTCAAGTTCGTTACTGGTTGAATATTGGGTTGAAAATGTCAGCCAAATCTTCAAGTTCCTTACAGGTTTGAATGTCGAGTTTGACTAGGTGCGTGGCTGATTATAGGAAGCAATCTTCTGCCTCCAATAGGCGAGCTATTTGCTGAAGTACGCAGAGAAAAAACTGCAGACATGTGATGCTGGGAAAAAAAGCTACTAATGCAACCAGTTCTGTGAAAGGATCAGCCTTAGCAATTCTTGAAGCCCAAATCAATCATAGGATGCCTCAAAACCAAGGTGGAGGAGAAGAAAACAATCTGCAGTCTTGACTACTACGGCAAATCACACCATACCCAAGAGAATTGCTAGAAACTGCATGGTAGACCACCTAATGATAAGGGAAACAAGTCCTTGAACAAGGCAATCATGCAGCAAATGAGGCCTAAGCCTCTCCCTTTAGCAAAGATAATTAGATCATCTTCTTAAATTGCTAAAATTATGCTCTTCACCTACTGCTCCTGTTGGTTTTCTCACACATTTACATAGTAATCCTGTAGTACTTTCGGTTCTTACAAGAGTCAGTCCTTGGATCATTTATTTAGAGGCTTCTAGTTACATGACAAGCTGCTCTAGCATGTTTTGTTCATACTATCCATGTTCTGGTATTGAAAAAGTTAGAATAGCTGATGGTAGATTTTCACCCATTGCAGGCAAAAGTTATATTAAATTTTCTGGAAAAATCAAATTCAAATCAGTTTTGCATGTTCCAAAACTTGCCGGCAATCTTCTCTTTGTCAGAAAATTGTCAAGACTCTGAATGTTCCATTCTTTTTCTTCCTTCTCATAGTGATTTTCAGGACATAAGCTCAGGGAAACCAATTGGAATTGCTAGATAAATAAATGGACTGTGCTACTTTGATGAAATTAGCTTCCGGGAATAAAACAGCTCAGATACTAGGTAGTAATCATTCAACCTTTGTTTACGATGAGTTATGTTATGATATAGGAGATTAGGATAACCTAACTTTCCATATCTCGAACATTTAGTTCCTAAATTTTTTAAAGGGATTGGATTGTTCAAAAATTTTCCTTGTGAGGATTGTCATTTGGCTAAAGATCATTGTGTTTCATTTCTTGTAAAACCATATTCTGCTTCAAAACCATTTTATTTGTTTTACAATGATGTTTCGTCCCCATATAAGGTTAACACTTTCCCGAAAAAAAAAATGATTGGAATTGCTAGAGAAATAAATGGACTGCACTACTTTGATGAAATTAGCTTCTGGGAATAAAACAGCTCGGATACTGGGTAGTAATCATTCAACTTTTGTTTATGATGAGTTATGTTATGGCATATGAGATTAGGATATTGTAACTTTCCATATCTCAAACATTTGTTTCCTAAATTGTTTAAATGGATTAGATTGTTCAAAAATTTTCCTTGTGAGGCTTGTCATTTGGCTAAAGATCATCGTGTTTCATTTCCCCTAAAACCATATTTTGTGTCAAAACCATATTATTCGTTTCACAATGATGTTTCATCCCCATATAAGTTAACACACTTTCTGGAAAAAAAAAATGATTACAATTTCTAGAGAAATAAATGAACCATACTACATTGATGAAATTAACTTCCGGAAATAAAACAGCTTGGATACTAGGTAGTAATCATTCGGCCTTTGTTTATGATGAGTTATGTTATGGTATAGGAGATTAGGATATCCCAACTTCCATATCTCAAACATTTATTCCCTAAATTGTTTAAGGGGATTGCTTTGTTCAAAAATTTTCCTTGTGAGGCTTGTCTTTGGCTAAAGATCATCGTGTTTCATTTCCCCTAAAAGCATATTCTGCATCAAAACGATTTTATTTGTTACACAATGATGTTTTGTCCCCATATAAGGTTAACACATTTTTTGAAAAAAAAAAAAAAACAAAAATGCTTGGAATTTCTAGAAAAATAAATGGACTGTACAACATTGATGAAATTAGCTTCCGGGAATAAAACAGCACAGACACTAGGTAGTAATCATTTGGCCTTTGTTTATCATGAGTTATGTTATGATATAGGAGATTGGGATATCCTAACTTCCATATCTCAAACATTTATTTCCTAAATTGTTTCATGGGATTGGTTTATTCAAAAATTTTCCTTGCAAGTCTTGTCATTTGGCTAAAGATCATCATGTTTCATTTCCCCTAAAACCATATTTTGCATCAAAACCATTATATTTGTTTCACAATGATGTTTCATCCCTATATAAGGTTAAAACACTTTCCGAAAAAATAGTTTACGATTTTTATTGATGACCACATAAGAATATGTTAGATTTATTTGTTGGAAAAGAAATCTGAAGTTGAACAATGGTTTGAAGAATTTTTACTTATGATTGAAGATCAATTCGAAACTAAAATTGCTATCCTAAGAATAGATAATGGAACTCAATGTTTTAACAAATCTTTGAAAAATTTTCTTTTAAAAAAGGACGTTATTCATCATTCAATTTTCTGTGACATACCACAACAAAATGAAATTGCCAAGAGAAAATACATACTTGAAGTTACCTGAGCAAAATGTTCCCGATGAATGTTCCTAAATACATCTCAGGTAATGCCCTTTTAACTGCTTGTTACTCGATAAAACAGAATGTCATCTCAAGTTTTGAAACTTCAAACACATTTACAATGTTTGAAAAAAAAAAATTCCCACAACCTGGCTACTTGCAATTCTTCCATTGATAGTTTTTGGTTGTACATTGTATGTCTGTGTATGCAATAACTTTCGATCCAAACTGAATCTAAAAGCTAAAAGATGCGTTTTCATTGGTTTCATTGACTTGATTATTTTTATATTACAAATTATCTAAAACAAAAGTAATTTTAAATTACATTCTTAGACAATTCTTTTGGTAATTTCAGCCTAAACAAATGGAAACACTGAATTTCCCTTCAATGATTTGAGCTTCCTTAAACAGAATTTTCGCCATATATGATACAGGTAACTTAAAGATTTCTCTTTTTGAGACAGAAAACAGATATCAATCACTATCTTCCCTTTACCATAAAACCGGCAAATTTCAGGAACCAACCGAGCCCCTAGACCTGAACTCACAATAGATAAACACCAATCCTTTATGGTTATTGATCGACTCTCGCTTTCTATCATCCCAAAACAGAAACTTTACCAGTTCCAACCACTGGAAGATTAAACAATTCCACATCTCTGCCACCTCAAAGGCTAACCACTTTATTTTTCATGCTCTCAATTTCTGGTTCTTGGAAATACACCAAATACACTCCACAACCTTTGATAGACCCTTTAATAGTGGCTCTGTCATTCGAAGGTTTATGCCTCTCGTATTTGAAGATTGCAGTGTATTAATCATCATATCAAAGAAGCCCTATCCTCACCCCTGGTAAGGTGTTCTTTGCCTCTGTTGACTAAGAACTCAAGGCACGTGATTTTGTTTTTTAGTTTCTTTGGAAGGAAGTGGGGGTTCTTAAGAAAATAAATACTTTTTCTTATTAGAAGATATACATATCAAGTTAAATAAGTACCTTAATATGAGCTACTTCACCATCTTCAATCACCAAAACTCTTTTGGTATGTTCAATGAGAGCATTTGCATCACTTGATAAAAAAAGTTCCTTAGGATGTGAATTCTTGTAGAGGAACTTAGCATCTTGAAATGTAGATCCATTACTTTTTTCATCGTTTAACTCCTGAAATTATAGTCAGGCAATAACTATATTAACACAAGTACAAAATAGAGAAAAAGAATAATGTAATCAATCGATATCAGACAGGAGAAATTCATTTGCACAATGTATGATTTAGTATAACATGAAAAATAGATGGTCTAACAATAAGCTCATACTTCTATGAAAGATTT